AAAGTTTATTTAATGTGTACAATTTTGATTTACGAAAGGTTATAATTATTTTATCTTTGTGCAAGTCATCAATTATGTACTCCAACTATTGTTGCGTACAACAAGAACGAGAACAAATTTATATGGCCTTCTTTTCCGCATAAAAACTCATTAATATAAAAATATTTATAATAGTAATAATGTTAATAGTAATATTATTTTTAATAATTAGTAACAATGAGTAGTAGTCGTAGTAGCGACTGTAACTGCAGCAGCAGTTGAATAATTGTAGTAGTAGCGGCAGAAGCGTGGTAAGAGTAGATGTAGTAGTAGCAGTATTTCTATTTTTAACGGTCGTATTAGTAAATACACTTTGTAGTACATTTCTGCAGTAGCACGAGATTTAGGGTAGTAGTTGGATTAGAAGCAGCTGCAGCAATAGTAGATAAAGTAGTAGTAGTAGTAGTAGTAGTAGTAGTAGTAGCAGCAGTAGTAGAAGTAGTGATGGCGACTGTAAATATCTGCGTTGTTCTTTCCGAGATATTAAATTTATATTTGTTTAGATTAGCCAGATCATAGGATTAGTGTTTTTGCTGGTTGTTTGTCGTTTTTCGCAACTGTTATATGTTATTATTATTATTATTATTATTATTATTATTAGTAGTAGTAGTAGTAGTAGTAGTAGTAGTAGTAGTAGTAGAGCAGTTGTGGTAGCAGTAGTTGTAATAGCCGCAGTCTAGATGTTGTTGGTTAAATGTTGTTCATAACATAGTTTAACGTTTTTGTTAGTGTTGGGAATGTCATTTTCGTTGGTTTTTTGAGGTTTCTTCATTATTTGCAGACAAACACTTAGACAGAGCTGTTTGTATGATTTTAACGCCGATATTTTTTTATAATTATGCTTCTTTATTTTATGCTTACGTTATTTTATTTCTTTGTTGACCATTTTTGTTCTTTGTTTATGTTTTTGTAATCTTTGTTGATGATTTTATGTTTTCGGTCTATAATCTTGAAGTTTTATGCAAGAAATAATTATATTGAATCGTTAGAACGATCGATACGACGTGCAGAGATTTTTTCCAATAGTAATAACATTTGGATGAATGAATGAATGAATGAACGAACGAACGAACGAACGAATGAATGAATGATTGATTGAATGAAATCTGTTCTATAATAAATTAATAAATTAAAACACAGACATATTCACGAATTGTTTGTACATATTGTTTTATTTGTTCAAAGAACAGAATTAACCTTTTATTCATTGAAAATCACAATTAAAAAACTTTCGATCAACATATATTAAATTTGTTTTCTTTAATTTAATAAATAAAATAATCAATTTTGAATTTAAAAAACAATAATTTTGATTAAAAATTGATCAAATGATAATAATAATGCGTCTTTGAGACAAAAAAACATTTTTACATATCATTGAAAAAGGCACTTGAAGTTAGTGAAGATGTGCTGTTGTTGTGTGGGTGTGTGTGTATGTGTGTGTGTATGTATGTGTATGTGTGTGTGTGTGTGTGGGTGTGTATGTGTGTGGGTGTGTGGTGTGTGTCAAATGGCGTCTCATCATTCTTTATAAAAGTTTCAGTCATTCTCGCTCTGAAAGCACTCATCTGAGTAATGAAACCGACATCATCATCATCGTCGTCATCATCTTCATCATCATCGTCGTCCTCATTCTTTTCTTCTCCACCATCATTATCATCATCATCATCATTTACTTATTGGTTATAGCACGTATGTTGTCATTTTTATCGCAAAACAAAACTACTCTCTCTCTCTCTCTCTCTCTCTTTTTCTCTTTCTTTCGTTTTTTCTTTCTCTCACTCTCCTTCCTTTCCTCCTCTTTATTTTATCATCATCTTTATCTCACACTCACTAAATCATCATCTCATCACAAACACGCTCACTCTAACGTTATCACGTCATAAAAAAAACTTTAAAGGTAATACAGTCTTTTTTATGTGCTTATAAACCTAGACACACACACACACACACACAACACACAACACGTACACACATAGCACACACGCACTTGCATATACATATACATACACACACGTACACACACACATAACACATACGCATCTTTGCGTACATGCACATCTACATACGCAGACGTACACACACGCGCACTTGCACACTTGCACACACATACACACACACACACACATATATATATATATATATACACAAATAACACACACGCTTCTGCACATACATGTACATTGTACATACACACACGCATGCAAAACAAGCGTGTTTATAGTTTATATACATTGTTTAACGTGAACATAAACATGAACAAAACAACGAGGCAAAAATAAACATCCACACACGCACTGTATACATAAACAAAAAGCATGCACATAAAACCAATATTACAAAAAATAACACGAAAAAATGACAAAGAAAAAACATAAACATACAATTATTTACATATACGAACATACTTACACATACAAACATACATTCTAATAAACGCAAAAACATTCACACAGGCACACAACACACACACATACACACAAACAAACAAACAAACATACATGAACCAATAAACAAACATTCTTAAAGTACATACAGACACATACATGATAAATAATACACATACACGCACATACACATACACATACACACGTAAACTTACACGCATGCATAGTGGTTAAACAATTTTTAAAAAAACACACACACTACAGAATACATAAACACAGAATACCATCATCAGTGATACAATACAATACCAGGCTTATATATATATATATATATACAATATATAAATACGTAAAATACACGCAATACGCCTTAAATTCATTATTTTACGCTCCTGGAATTACGATCTATTGCAAATACAAGCAGCGTTAGAAATATACAAAGTAAAAATATACATAAGTTTATCAGTATGATTTTATGTGTATATATGTATGTATAATTGTGTGTGTGTGAGTGTGAGTAAGTGTGTGTGATTATGTGTGTGAGTGTGCATGTATGTGTGTGAGAGTGTGTGTGTGTATATTTCTTGCAAAGAAATACGTATTGTGAAGAGATGAGATTATGTATGTATGCCTTTTAAGATAAACAGACGCGTTATACATTACTGACAAGGGAGAATGTTACCAATGATAATCATGTGACTATATGTAACCATAACGATAAGATAATGAAAATAGTTTTGGTTAATTTTACATTTAAAAGTTAATAAACCGGGTTTACTTTGCACAGAAATGCATGCAAAAATCAACAAAAAACAAAAATAAACTTTGACTCTGCAGTTTAAGTAATGCATATTTTTATTTTTAAATCTTCACAAAACTTCGAAATTAATTATAATTTTTTTTGTCACCAGTTTGGTGGCATTATTTATCTATTTTAAACATTTAAAATACGGTACTTGGGCATTTAAGAAAGAAATTAGGTTAGTATTTAAAACAAATGGAACAAGTTTCATACCCCTGATCTGCTTGCTCCGTGCAAATCGCCGGTGTTTATCTTATGAAATATTTGTATTTGCGCTGTTACATCTGTTCTGCTTAATAAGATTTGAGTTTGTGTGTTTGAATGTGTGTGTGTGTGTGTTTGTTTGTGCGCGTGTGTGTGTTTTTATGTGTGCGTGTGTGTTGTGTATTTCTTTATTCAATTCTCTTCCAAACAGTTCTTAGAAGATATGCTAATTTGCGCGTGTTTGTTTATGTATATGTGTATTTTCTAATTGCGTGTCTGTGTGTGTGTTTAAGTGTGTGTGTGTTTTTAGTGTGTGTGCGTGTAAGTGTTTTTATTTCTGACAATACTGATCAAACAATCTGGTTTGTGTCTTCTGCGGCTGGCAAACATACAGGCGAACAAGCAATAAGGGAAAATGAAATAATCTCAAAATGTTTCTTCAGTCGTAAAATTTAATGTCTTGTTATCTGAACAAACAAAAAAATCAATTGTCCTGCTGCTTTTGATTGGAGTCTCTCTCCTCTCTCTCTTTCTCTCTCTCTCTCTCTCTCTCTATCTCTCTTTCTCTCTATTTCTGTGTTAGTATTAGTAATGCGTAGTAGTAGGGCTTGAGGACATTTTCAATAAGAGAAGTGAAAAAACTTTTACTGGAAACTTTTCCAGCCCGAAGCTTGCAATGTTTTTTTTGTGTCGCGATGTAATTTTTCAATCATTTGCAGGCAGGTAATTTATTTTTCACTACAAGTTTTTCAATCTTGTTTTTTTTTTAATGTCGTTGGCATTGTTGTTTTGACTCTTGTTGTTGCTTTTTTTATTGATGTTTTGTTGATATTGTTGTTGCTGTCTTTTTGTTGCGTTATTAATGTTGCTGTTGCAGTTTGTTAATGTCATCAAAAAACTCAAGAATTTTTGCTTGTGGATAAATGTTAACATTTTTTAGACGAATGCGTGTGACACGCAAACAGCATGGTGTCTTTTTGTATTCGAACCCGCACTTGCCACACAAAACAGGTCGGTGTCTTCGAGCATCTTGCCCTAAATAAAAAGTAAAGCAGACAAGTTCTTAACACTCTGTACTAACTGTGTACTTAAAAGGATTGTTTATTTGTTTTTTATACAAACTCTGTCATGTCATTACTTCATTGTAGATATATGTAAATGTAAATATTTATTTATGTATTATTTTACATACTTTTTGTATATTATATAATCGATTGATAAAGTTGTTTATGTCTCTCTCTCTCTCTCACTCTCTCTTTTTCTCTCTCTCTTTTCATTCAAGCATGTGTGTGTGTGTTTGTGTGTGTGTGTCGGTGTATGTGTGTGTGTGTGTCGGTGTATGTGTGTGTGTGTGTAAATATACGTGTGAGTAGATATTATGAATTTAATTACGTGAATATATTGTTGTCATTGGGTGCGTACGTTTATATGAAGCGGAACTTATGCCTAATCACGTTCTGTCACTCAAATTATATCCAAATTGCTCCAAGCTACCCAAAAAAAACATTTTCACAACTTTTGAAAACCATTTCTCGTTCATTTGTAATCACAATTTGAAAAATTTTGCGTTAAGAATGGTGATGGGTTTTTTTGGTTTTACCAAAAGAGCATAAATATTCCAACAAATTATGAGCGCAGTTTTCAACATTTTTTTCATCCAAACTTTCTCCAGAGCCATCAAACTCGCCATCGCCGTCCTCATCGTCGTCGTCGTCGTCAATGCTGTTGAAGTTTCTTTCCAGGCGGATATTTTGTTGAGTTTTAATTTTTTCTCGCGCGAGACTAGCCGACGAACGTTTTCGCTTTTCGGTGGCGAAAAATTTAAATTCCATGTAGACACGAATGGCGTCGCCCAAAATTTGTGGGTCGATTTCAAAAGAGGATCTGTCGCTTTTGTCGTCATCCTTATTGCTGCTGTTGACGATGTTGTTGCTATTGTGGCTGCTGTTGTAGTTGTTGGTGGTGGTGGAGGTATTAGTGTTGTTGTTGGTGGTGGTGTTGTAGTTGATGTAAGGAGTGGTGACGCTGGCATTGAGTTCAGTCTCGTTGTTGGATATTGTATTGTAATTTTTTTCTTCGCATTTTTTGATGTTGTTGTCGTTTCGCTGCGGTGATTTTCGTTTGAAAAATTTCTCGACATTTGTTGCCTCCATTAATGTCGTTGTTGTTTCGTTCGGTGAATCATTTGTTGCCGTGATGCTTATGAAACATGGGGCTGTGTTGTTGCTGCTGCTACTATTTCTGTTGATGTTATTGTTGTTGTTGCTGCTGTTGTTTTTGTTGTTGCAGTTGCTGCTATTGTTGTTGGTTACGTGGTTTTCTTCGTTTACTATGTTGTTGTTAATCTTTGTGTTGTTGCTGTTGTTTACTATATTGTTGTTGTTTTTGTTTGTGTTTTCGCTGTCTATAATAACCTTGTCTTTGTTTGTGTTGTTGCTAGTGTTGTTGTTGTTGCTGTCACATGCGTTGTTGTTGTTCATATCATTTTCTAATGTAATGTCCACGAGGTTATTATTGATGTTAGTTGTTTCATTTTTGCCATCATCTTCGTCGAGAAGAATGAATTTTTTTTTCTGAAAATTTTCAAGAGCATTTTGGTCAACTTGAAAGAAATCTCTATCATCTGTAACGGCAGGGACTGGTTTGAAATTATTGTTGTTGTTGTTGCTGATGTTGTTGTTGATGTTTTTGTTGATGTTGCTGCTGTTGTTAATGTCATTATTGTTGCAGTTAATGTTGTGGGTTATTACGCTGAACTTGCGAGCGTCATCGTTGTTAACGATTATGTTGCTGTTATTGCTTTTGTTATTTTTAGCAACATTTTCATTTTTGTCTTTTAAAAACGGTTTAACGCAGAGCTCATAATTCTCTAGAATGTCTTTAAAATCATCTTTCGAACAGACCACACCCTGGTTCGCCACCATCTGCACCACCTCTCCACATTTCACCAACTCGCTCACCAAGGATTTTGACTTGTTAATCAATTTGACGTTAATATTTCTGTTGTGGTGGTTGATTTTGATGTTGTTATTGTTGTTGAGTTGGTCGGTTTTCAAAAGAGTTTCGCAGTTCGTGATGCTACCGCTCGATTTTTTATGTTTTCCAACGTAGTTGTTGTTGCTGCTGTTGTTTCGTAGTGGGAATTGATCTGAAGTGATTGAGGAACGTGCGGTTGATGGGGCTTTCTCCTCTAGAAATCCAGAACTGCTGGCCACGCTTCCATCTCGCCGTCTCCTTCCTCCTCCTCCTCCCGTGCCACTGTTGAAGTTCAAGAGGTCGTGTGCCTGGTATGGATCTGATTTCACTCGAGTTAAAGATTGCTGTTGTTGTTGTTGTTGTGATTTAACTTGATCAAGTTCAATGGTTTCTGGACGTTGTTGTTGTTTTTGTTGTTGCTGCTGTTGTTCAAGCTGTTGTTGTTGCTGCTGAATTTGTAATTGCTGCTGACTCGAACGGCGTTCGATGGCACTAGGCGAATGATGCTGCTTGTAGAGGTGTTGTTGCTGTTGCAAGTGTTGTTGTTGTTGATGTATTTGTTGCTGCTGTTGTTGCAGCACGTGCAGTTGCTGTTGCAGTTGCTGCCAACTCGGTCGGGCTGTTGCATTTTTTGTAATGTACTCGTTGGCCGCTCTTTGTCGCCTCTCCTGAACGACTGCTGCCACCGTCTGCCACTTTGAAGTGTGGATCACCTGCGATGTATGTTAGGTTGTTTCTTTTCTTGCTGTTGTTGCAGTTGTTGTTGCTGTTGTTGTTTAATAAAGATTTTTTTTGTTGTTATTCTGCAGTTGATTTTTCAATTTGAGGTCATTAAGTTGTTTGTTGCATTGCAATCACAGTTATTAATTTATGAACATGGTGTGATGTTTCTTGCTGCGTTTGATCAGTTCAATTTAGGTTGCGAAAAATTATTTAATAACAAATCATTGACCATCACAATACAATTACTGCTTATTGCTTAAGTTCTACATTGTATTTTCTGTATGTTATGTTTGTACCAGCATACACACACACATACATATATGTATGTGAATGAGTGAGTGTGTCGAAACGTTTGTCAAAATAACCCAGATTGCATTTATTTGTTTGTATATTGGTATATGTTTCAGTATGTTTGTATGAGTTTGTATATGTTTGTGTATGTTTACATTTGTTTGATATGTTTAATTTTTTATAAATGTTTTATGTTTCACCAGTTATTTATTGAATGAAGCCATAAAATGAAATTGTTATTGACGTAATGACCTGAAAAACATCACGTTTTTTGTTTCAAAGTTTCTGTTTTAAAGTTTTTTCTCTTTAAAACAAAAATTCCCCTCCTACCTACTAACAATCTTGCCTGCATATTTAATAACTTACATACAATTACAAACCAATTGAAGTCTTTAAATATTTAAAACTGAAGGGGGCTTGCTGACATTTCAATGTTGTGGTCTTCAATGACATTTTTTAATGATGATGTCTGAGTTTTTTTTATGGTTTTTCAAAATTTAGTTGACACTCATATATTTGTATATAATTGTATAACAATTAAACATTATATAAAGATACATCTGCACGAACAGTTAAACAAGCAGACACACACGCAGATATTCACACACAGACACACACCCAGACACACACACACACAGACAAACGTACAGACATTTTTAAAAAGACAGATTTTCACCTTTGTGCACATTTAGTCTACTTTCCATTCATAACATTGAACGAATGAAATACAGTGCCATTAAAATAATTTTTAATTTCTAACATGAGGCTGGAAAAGATTGCATAGTTAAATGCTCTTGTATGTATGTGTGTGTGTGTATGTGTGTGTGTGTATGTGTGGGTGTGTATGTTTGTGGTGTGTTTATTTATGTGTACTTATGAATATATGTGTACTTAAGTATATATGTGTACGTATTTTTCAGTTTAAATAGCGTACGTCGGTGTATATATGAACGCGTATAAGTACTTAATTTCAACAATTGCTCTACTCAAAGTACGATTGGCTGTTCTGCTGATGACATTTTTAAACTTTCGTTAAGGAACTAAAAATAAAAAAAATTTGATAATTGTCAGAGTCACCCTCATAGTACTCAGAGATACAGAGAGACAGAGATACAGAGTGACGGAGAAATGGAGAGACAGAGAGATAGACAGACGGAGACAGAGCATGTGAAAATGAGTGAATCCATGCGAGACAGGGCCATACACTTCAACCAATGCATCATCTCGTCGCCAGAATGAAGTACAATTAAAAATGTTACTTAAAAAATTGAAAATTAAGCGAAATTTCATGAAAATCGTTCAGAAAAAATGTTTGTTTTTTATTCTTCTGGATTGAAAGGAATGTCGGGAAGAGGTTAAGTGTTTTTAATTTCTGGTTCGTATGCTCACCGCCATTTTTAATCCTCTGAAGCGCTGAATTATTCAGTCGCTAAATCTTATATTACTGTTCTAGTATTTTTGATTTTTCTAATGCTACTACTACTACTACAACAGCAGCAGCAGCAGCAGTAGTAGTAGTAGCAGCAGCAGTAGTAGTAGTAGTAGTAGTAGTAATAGCAGTAGTAACAGTACTGTCTATTGCAATCCAATCATATCAAAATAGACAAGCGTGTAGAACTAAGTTCTAATATTTTATGACACGGTGCCTGTAAGAAAAATCCAGAATGTTATTTATGACGGCTAGGTTGCGATATTTCTGACATAAATCAAAATATCTAGTTTAATACTACTACTTCTACCACAGCTTCTGCTGATGCTACCGCTACTGCAGTTACTGCTACTACCACGAATACTCAATAGTACTGTTAAACGTTAAATCAGTAAAACGCCAACTGCAGTAACGACAACAACTTCAACGTCACATCTTTGTTGTTTCGTAGGTTGATTCCTCCATTAAAATATCAACAACATTAGTCTGATTGGTCGCCTCAAGGCACGCGTGCCCGCTCGCTCAACTTGTTCATCAGAGTTCTTTCGTTTGTTTGTTTATTTGTTTAATTGTTTGTTTGTATGTTATCATGTCTATCTGTTTGATTGTCTATTTATTTTTTGTTTGTTTGTTTGTGCGTTAGTTTGTTTGTATGTTTGTTTTCCTGTTTGTTTAATTGTTAGTTTGTCTGTTGGTCGATGTTTCACTACGTTTCTTTCTTCTTTTGACAACTTTGTTTATGCGCGTATAAATAAATGCTTGTGTTGTATTGTATTGTTTGTATTGTATTGTATTTTATCGTGTTGTATTGTATTGTTGTTTTGTATGGTTTTGCTTTTGCTCGTTTGTCGGTTTGTTTGCTTAATGTTTGCAAGTTTGTTAATGTCCATATCAAGCTAAGTTCATACTCGGTTCTTTGTTTGCTTTGTTCACGTGACATTTTTTCATCTATGTTTGTTGTGTTTTTGTTTTCTTACACTGTTGTTTCTTTGGTTTTCTCTATTGGCGTTCGTTTACATTAATTTTTTTTTAAATATTTGTTTAATCAATGATATCTTTGGTTTGTTAAACGTTACCGCGTTTGTTTAAATATGTATCCAAACACACACGTACACACACATAAAACAAACAAACACACAGACATATATTATTATTAATATTAAAATTATTATTATTATTAATTTATCAAACAATATTTATATAAATATAAATTATTAAAAATTCAAACTGATATTAATTCCCATAAGCAACAAATAGAAAAGAAACAAACATAACAAACTCACAAAATTAAGCAACAATTTATACCAAACCATGCAAAAAATACAAAAACATACAAATCATACAGAAAAAACACCAAAAAACATACAAAAATATACAAATTTTTTTCTGTTTTTGACAAATTTTTCAAGTCCTCGTAACAAAATACTACGCAATGTTTGCCCATGAAAAACATGAGGATGAACATATATCGTCATGTTTGCTCTGGTGATGATGTTGGTGATGGTGATGACGATTTTGTTAATGATGATGATGATGATAGGAGGGGTGATGATGATGATGATAATGATATTAATGATGAGGATGATGATGGTGACGATGATGATTATAATGAAAATGGTGTAATAAAACATGAGGGATCAATTTTTTTTCCCTCCAAAGAAACCACGCCTATGTATATTAATAACATCTGACTTTTCATGTAACAAATCATTTTTAATACTAATAAGTATTATAATTAATTATAAAAAAAAGTAATTAGCTAACTATGACAGTAATGTATTACCTACAAAACAATAAAATACTAAAAAATTACTATAATGAGTCACATATTAGCACGCACTTTTTATTTGAAACGCACTACATATAATGTTTCTTAATAATTACGCCTAACAATTATAATACAGATATTTCATAATTATTTATGAGAATTATAGAAATCGATAATTATGGCGTCAGAGCTGACGTCACAAACACCGGCCAATCAGAGCAGCTAGGCTGGTTGGCCAGTTTGTTTGTGTGCAAGTGTAATTTATGGCTAGCCGGCTGACCGGTCAATAACTTAATTTATTTCCTTTATTACTTCTTTTGTTGATTTGTCAATGTGTATCTCGGTGTATATTGTTTGTGTGCAAGCCTGTAGGTATGTTTGTTTGGGTGTGTATATATGCATAAACACACACATACACGCACAGTTTGTGTATGTTTGCTTCATGTATATTATTAATACATTTTAATGGCGATAAAAATATTAAAAAAATTATTTCTTCAAAAGCGCTAATATATGCATACCTGTATGTATGCATGTTTGTGTGTATTTAAGCATGTACGACGGAAGGCAAAAAGTCTCTTAAACGCTGCCTAGGTTCAGAGGATTGAACAACTCACAGAAACAGCTTATACGTTTGTGTACTAAACAAAGCATCCCATACAAAGCATGCGATAGACGAGGATCTTTTAGTCGTATTCGAACCCGGTGATTGCTAAGAAGCACAAGACGATCTTAATCACTGGACCACCATGCCGACCGAACATGTGAACACATGTGTGTTCAATTGTTTGATCGTTTTTTGGTCTGTTTGTTGTTTGTATGTTTGTTTGTATGCTTGTTTGTATGTTTGATTTTTGTATGTTAGCATGTGAGTGATTATTTATGAGCAGTATATTGATCGTACGTTCCGCAAGTGTGTTGTGTCTTTCCATATACAATGATTTTTTTTCTTGGTACTGTTTACAGGAATTATTTTTGGTTTATAAATTTTTCCATCTCTGCTTGTTTTTTTTTGGTGGACAAATTTTTTGTATACAATTTTAGTGCATTAAAAATAACGTGGAAAAATCTCTTGTTATTAATGTATTTTTTCTAAATTTGAAAAATAGCAAAAGTTCTATTTGGTCTCTCTCCTTTTTTTGTTCTCTCTCTCAATCTTCTCTCTCTTTTTCTTTCTCTCTTTACTTTTTTCATATTCAAATATATTACATTCAATCTTAATCCCCCCCTCTCTCTTTCTTTCTTTTTCTCCTAATATATTTTTCTTTTATCTAAATCAAAATGAATTATAACATTTTCTTCCTCTCTCTCTCTCTCTCTCTGTCTCTCTCTCTCTGTCTCTCTCTCTCTGTCTCTCTCTCTCTCTCTTTTTCTCTTGACGTTTTTTACGAATGATTGAATGTTCCATTAAAAATCTGCAAGTTATAACAATCTCTCCATCATATATATACATGGAACGCCGAAATGCATTAACAGCACATCAACATGGAAACCACAAAACAATTAAAAAAATATAAAAAATAAAATGAATAAACAAACAGAACTTTTTTGCCAAAAATGCAAAAGAAATACAAATTTCTTGGCGGTAAATGTTTCTAGAATAAAAGATATTTCCTCTGAAATCAAATTAAAAACGAAGAAAAAAAACAAAAAGTTTTGGATGGAGATAAGAAAAACAAAATGATATAAAAATGAAAACTGCTTAAAAGGTCGAGAATGTATTTGGTGAAGTTTAAAATTAGAATTTTTTTGGTATGTGTGTGTGTGTGTGTGTGTGTGCGTGCGTGTGTGTATGTGGTGTGTGTGTGTGTGTGTGGTGTGTGAGTGTGCCTACAAGTGCAACTATTTTTGAACCAAAAAATTATTTTATTATGGACATAAAATTTTGTTTCAGAAATTTTGTGAAAAAAAAACATAGCTTGGTAAAATTTATTACTGCTACATCAAGGAATTTTACATTTTTCGTCCACGTTTAAAAAACTTTCAATCTTTAAAGCTTTTTTATATGGCACTCAAAAATATTTCCTCTCCATAGATGAGAAAATTTATTTTGTATCTTTTTATTTTTGTTATAAAAAATTATTTCTCGAAATTTATAAGAAAATAAACTTTTTATTTTGAATTTTTAGTTAAACATCTGTTAATTTTACATATTTCATTGCATACTTAAGTAATTTTACTAAGGTTTACTAATGAAATTGACATGCTGTTTCTATTTTCTTATAGTTATTCATACATATTTCCAGTTTACGCATGAATGGCAGTTGATTGGAAAAGTTTTCAAATGAAATTTTTTCCGATATCGAGATGAAAAACAAACACACTCACGTCATACACACACACACACACACACACACACACACACACACACACGCACACACACACACAAACGGACAGACACGCACGCACACACACGCACTTCTTTGTTATAATAAAATATACACATAAACACGCAAAAAAACCACTTGCTAAAAATAACTCCAGCATCTAAATATTAAAAATTATTTTTAAAAATCCGAAATCCAAAAAGCTGAACGCAACAGATATGGCAGAACGTTATTACAAAGCCTCTCGCTGATAACCACCGATGAACAAACAACCGACAACACAGCCAGCCGACCAGCCAAGGTACATTACATACAGGAATTGAACATAAATAACTAAAAAATTCTACAAACAAAAACAAGTAAATGAAAAACAAATAAAAGCACATCCCTACTTTCTCCGGAACTCAAAATGGGGTCCAGAAAAATTACTTCTGCGTTTTGCGGCGTGGGACAAACGACCTAATAAATTTTGTGGTCGGTCGAACGGCCTTACGCGCGAACTCATGCTCACTACCATGCAAAATCCAATAAATACAAAAAAAACAACTAGTTGGTATAGTGTTAGTTAGTTGTTCGAGTGTGTAGTCGTTTGTTGTTGGCGTCGTAGCTGCTTTGGCTGTATTTGTTGTGGCTGTAGTACTAGCAGTAGCAGCGCCAGAAATAGTAGCAATGTAGCTGCAGCAATAGTATTAGCTACATCCTAACTAGTTTTAGTAGCAGTGATTGATATAGTATTAGTAGTAGTGATGATGGTAGAGGCAGTAGTGGTAGCGTCAGTTACAGCAGCGAAGCAGAAGTAAGGGTTATGAGTAGTTGTCGAATTTGTCGAAGTAATGATTTTTGTTGTAGCAGTAATAGTGGTAGTTGTAGAAGTAGTAGTAGCTGTAATAACAGTAGTAGTAGTAGTAGTTGTAGAAGTAGCAGTAGTAACAGCAGTAGCAGTAGTAGTAGTAGTAGTAGAAGTAGTAGTACAAGTATTTTTAATAATGGTTTGTTTGCAGCGTTCTTATTTTCCACAGTGGTTAACAGCAATTAAATTGTCAGAATGATAATGGCTTGCGAAGTTTTTGTCCTGACTTACGACCAGATAATAGTAATAATAATAATAATAATAATAATAAAAATAATGATAATAACTATTATTATTATAACATAAATTATTTTGTAAAAAATTATAGTCTGACTGACAGAGAATTCTGTTACAACACGCAAGACGACATTCATAATGTTGAAGATAATTATACTAATAGTAATTGAAGTATACAATTGTAGTAATGGTGTTACTGCTACGAAAGAGTAATAATACTAAATATAGTAATAATAATAATAATTATTATTATTATAGTTATAAGAATAGAAATAATAAAACATTCAAAACCATTTCCTGTGCAGAATTCTTACTTTAAATTTTCAAATTTAGAAATCTTGGACCGTAATGACGATGGTTACGACAATGATGACGATGATGAAGATGATGATGACGATGATGAAGATGATGATGACGATGATGAAGATGATGATGACGATGACGATGATGAAGATGATGATGACGATGATGAAGATGATGATGACGATGATGATGACGATGACGATGATGAAGATGATAACGAAAATGACGACGACGATGATGGTGGTGGTGGTAGTGACGACGATGATGACGACGACGATGAATTTTATTTTCAATCTTCTTAGGTTATGGTCGCATTAACGATAGAGTAATGGCATTCTTGCCAAACAACGCGGGTAGCTACACAACAACACAACATCACAAAAAATGACAACAACACACTCGCATCATCAATAACAATGACGTCAACAACCGAGCAACAACAACAACAACATCACATCATCAACAACAACATCCCATCATCAACATCACATCATCAACAACAACATCCCATCATCAACATCACATCATCAACAACAACATCCCATCATCAACATCACATCATCAACAACAACATCCCATCATCAACATCACATCATCAACAACAACATCCCATCATCAACATCACATCATCAACAACAACATCCCATCATCAACATCACATCATCAACAACAACATCCCATCATCAACATCACATCATCAACAACAACATCCCATCATCAACAACAACATCCCATCATCAACATCATCAACAACAACATCCCATCATCAACATCACATCATCAACAACAACATCCCATCATCAACATCACATCATCAACAACAACATCCCATCATCAACATCACATCATCAACAACAACATCCCATCATCAACATCACATCATCAACAACAACATCAGAAACCTGAGAAAAGAGCGTTTTACATCAGCACACCAAAACACAAATTATAAATGCATATCAATATACTGCATAACACTACACCTCGGACCATTAGCCCGGATTTATTAAACATTATACGGTTCTTTTTAACAGTACTTGCATGGTACTTACTCGATACTTTACATTCTACTAATTACAATCATAATTGTCGCAAAAATTTAAATTGAAAATTTGCATTCGTTTACTCTGATACTTAAGTTAAGAAGTTTGACTAGCTAATAGGGTTTGATTGATAATTTAAAATAAGGCATTTAGCATGTATTTAAATATGCATACAGATATTACCGATAAATAGTAAAGTGACGACGACGACGATGATGATGACTGAAGATGAAGAAGATGATGATGATGAAGACGACGATGATGACTGAAGATGATGAAGAGGAAAATGATGATAATACTGTTTGTCATCGTTTATCATTATGATTACATTTTTCATGATGAAATTTTTTTTTGGGAAAAAAGATATATTGATGTCATTATTTCCAACGCCATCGTCATCGTTAATAACATCATTATCGCTGTCGTCATAATAAACATGATGACGTCACCATCATCGTCACCATCCTCATCATCGTCATCATTCTCGTCGTTGTCATAGTCACTATCAACAGCAACATGATGATCATCATCATATTTAAATATTTACTATTAATATTCCTGTTATTATTAAATTATTATTATTATATATACTATTATTATTTATTATATTTGTTATTACTATTATTATTAAAAGATCGTTATCAGTATTATGACCTTATCTTGAATCCTGTCCTTGACCTTGGATATAAGTACAGAAGATATACTCGGACCCTTATCAACAGTCGTACTGGCAGCTGCTTGTATCGGTTGCATAGGTTTGTATCGTGGCTGTTGAAGCTGCTGTAGCTGCTGCAGCTGCTGAGGCTGAGGTTGGGTATGCAAACTCGAACTTCGTTCTCTTTCTCCCGTTCCTGATTGGTTGGGATTGAGGAGGTGAGATGATGAGAGATTGGTGAGAGGACTTGCTGGAGGTTGCGAATGAACACTAGAGTTTGAGTTGTTAACAGGGATGGGTGATAAAGAACCGGATCCGTCTTGTCTCGGTATCGCTACATTGTCGGTACTCGTGTTGGAAGTGTCGGTCTTTCGATTTTCAGCGGCAACGGGGATGAGCTTGTCGACGATGTTTTGCACGGAGATGGATGGAGCGCTGTGTCTCGCTTGGTTTGTTACTTTGGCGCATTTGAGCAGTCGGTCGTTCTGTTGCTGTGGCTGTTGATCGTCGTTGTTGTTGCTGCTGCGACTGTTGCGGATAGCGTCGCTTTCGCTGTCGTCGCATTTGTTTTCGATGATTGTGATTTGTGGCATCTGCTGGTTGCAAGCGTTGTTTTTCTTTTTAGAATTGTTGTGGCTGTTGCAGTTGCTGTTGTTGTTGCTGTTGCAGTTGCTGCTGTTGCTGCTGTTGAGGTTGAGCACGTTGCTGTTGTTGCTACTTCTTCTTGAGTTGCAGGTGCTAATGACGATGATGTTGCTATTGTTGCTGCTCCTCCTTGAGTTGCAGACCGAGTGCTTGTTCGTCTGTATGAGGGCGGTTTCCTCGTTGATCACGTGACCGTCGTAGTCGTCGTCACTCCCGACACTACACGCCGACAGTTTGTTGCTTTTTGATTGTTTTTTGTTATCCATTTCTGTTTGATCGAGTTCGAGGCTTTACTTTGAAATTTATCGAGTGTTAATCTCGGTGTGTCTGTGAGTTTTGTCGTGGAGATGGATGCGACTCTGTGTCTGTGTATGTGTGTGTGTTTGCGTGTGTGCTTTGTGTGTACGTGTGTGTTTGTCTTTTTTTTATCTATTTGTGTGGAATTTTAGAACAAATTTTAAAAGCTTAATAAATGTATGAGAAACAAAAATTTTTTTTGATAAGTTTTCTAAATATTTTCAACAATTTTTCTCAAAATATTTCTTCTCCATAAAACATTGCATAGAATTTTCACCAAACATATTTAAACAAACATAAACAACTCACAAAAAATGAACTTAATTTCAGTCTTGAAAGAATAATATACACAGTAATTAATTATGGTCAAATAAATTTCTGATAAACTCGTTTTCAAATTTGAATGTTGAGTTTGTATTTCATTTTAATTCAACTTAATTTAAGTAATTTCGATTTTAAATTAGTTCGATTTTAATTAATTCAATCAATGAGTCAATTTAATTGTTAACAAAATTAAAAAGTGATCT